ACATTTCTTTATGTCCTCCTGGATTGTCTTTTCTTCACCGTCTTCTTCTTGTTTTGTTTTTGCAGCGTTCACACTGGAAAGTGTGCAAAAAAAGTTGGAAAAACACCAACTTTTGATGTTCTGTTGCAGCAGTGTGTTTGTAGTAAGTGAGGCAATAAAAACTTGATCTAAGAAAGAATGGGATTCTGCTCTAGGACACCACTTCTTAAACTACGAGTCCCGACCACAGATAGCTCAATGTTGTTGTTGTTTATTTGATCAGTCGCTTCCGACTCTTTGTGACCTCACGGACCAGCCCAAGCTCTCTGTCAGCCGTCGCCACTCCCATCTCCTTCAAGGTCAAACCAGTCACTTCAAGGATAATATCCATCCGTCTTGCGACTCTTCCTTTTTTCCTTCCATTTCCCCCAGCATCGTTGTCTTCTCCAAGCTTTACTGTCTTCTCATTATGTAGCCAAAGTACTTCATTTTTGCCTCCGATATCCTTCCCTCCAGTGAGCAGCCAGGCATTATTTCCTGGAGTATGGACTGGTTTTTATCTTCCTGTAAGATTTTCCCTCCAACACCAACAGTTCAAAAGCGCCTATCTTCCTTTGCTCAGTCTTTCTTATGCTCCACCTCTCGCATCTATAGGTTACTACAGGGAATACCACTGCTTTAACAATGCAGTGCTTCGTTGACAGTGTAATGTCTCTACTCTTAACTATTTTTTCAAGATTGGCCATTGTTCTCCTCCCAAGAAGTAAACGTCTTCTGAATTCTTGGGTGCAGTCTGCATCTGCAGCAATCTTCACACTTAGAAATATCAAGTCTTTCACTGCCTCCATGTTTTTCCTCTCTGTTTGCCAGTTATCAATCAGTCTGGTTACCATAATCATGGTTTTCTTTGAGAGTGTTGCAATCCAGAGCAGGGAACGAGGCCCTAAGATAACTATCCACCACACTTGGCTGTGAAAAACAATCCTTTTTTTATTGAAGAAAAATGGTTACAAAATAAAGGAAAAATGCAAGTCAAAAGCCACAGCAAAATCAGCAAACATGAATTTAAATGGACAAAGCAAAACCAAAAGCCTCACTGGGAAATACTGGAATCTGTTAGCAATCCACTAACCGTACTTGATATCCTAGAAATCTTCCCAAACTATTGCCAGGGAACCGGGAGAACTGCCAAGGTCTTCATCAATTCTGAAACGATGCCTGAACTGAGACAATCAGCTCGGCGTATTGCAATTAAAACTCAAGAATTGGTTCCGTGAACCGCCTTTCTGTTTTGAAGCCAATGTTTTTAATTCTTGAATTCGGGAGGATCGACGCAAACTGAGTGATTTACTTCTGTCTTCCCAAATTTGGCCCCTTCTGTTGTCATTACAGTTAACAGGTGCAGAAGGGAGGGAAAGTTCAAGGTCTCCCTCTGAAACATTCTCATGAACACTGGTACTTTCATTTTCCAAATCTACAGAAGTTCCTTCCTCACTAATTTCAGGAACATTGGCATTTTCCAAACCTACAGCAGTTTCTTCCTCACTAATTTCAGGAGCATTGGCATCAAAAGGTACATTTCCACTAGCATCAGTAAATATACTTTCATTAGCATCAGGAGGAACAAACAGAGAATCAGATTCAAGTTCAAACTCAGGCTGAACCCCAACAGAGAGTTAAGACTATGACTTTGGAGATAGGGTTCAAATCGCGTGGTTTTACTACAACCCAGCTTTTCCACTTTCTTCTTTAACCTTGGTTATAAGGCTCCTCAGCAACTCCACGCTTTCAGCCATCAAAGTGGCCGAAATCTTCATATCTAAGGTTGTTAATGTTTCATCCAGCAATTTTAACTCCAGCCTTGGATTCATCAAGCACCACATGTTGCATGATGTATACTGCATCCAAGTTGAATAGGTACGATGAGAGCATACAGCCCTGCTGTACTCCTTTCCCAATCTTGAACCAGTCTGTTGTTCCATGGTCTGTTCTTATTGTTGCTACTTGGTCGTTTACAGATTCCTCACGAGACAAACAAGGTAACTTGGTATCCCCATAATACCACCATGAACTTGTCACAATTTGTTATGATCCACATAGTCCTTGATATTATTATCCTTCATATACAGATCTTCTGTATAGTCTCGCCACCTTCTCTTGATATCTTCAGCTTCTGTTAGGTCCCTGCCATCTTTGTTTTTGATCATGCCCATTTTTGCCTGAAACTTACCTCCAATGTTCCTAATTTTATGGAAGAAATCTCTTGTCCTTTCTATTCTATTGTCTTCTTCCACTTTCATGCTCAATGTTGAGGTCACAAAATTGGCAACAGTAAAAGGTCTATGAAAGCCATTGAGACATTTACAAAAATCTGTTGACAACAATGTGCAGTATTTACAGTGGACTCTGCAGAGAATGCTTCAGCTGTACTTCATAAAAAGGAAAATTACCCTGTTTAGCAAACCTTGCTAATGTCACATGGAATTGGTTGACACAGGAGAGGCTTGAATATCAGCGAATTCCAGTTCAGGTCACAGCTTATTACAATCTATAGCAGGGGTCCTCAAACTTTTTAAGCAGAGGGCTGGTTCACGGTCCCTCAGGATGTTGGGGGGGGGGGGGGGAACAGACTATAGTTTGGGAAAAAAACCACAAACGAACTGTTACACTCTCAAAATGAGTTTACAGATCAGCCAATTGGCCTTATCAAAACAGACAATATAAACACAAGATACAGCATACATCTAGTCTGAGTAAAAATATAAATATACAAATACAAAAAGAAAAAGTGGGGATGGCCAACAAATTCTGAGCACACTGCACATATCTTATTTGTAATGCAAAAAACATGAATGAATATTGCAATACTTACAATGAAGGACAATTTTAACCAACATAAACATTTCTGTATTACAACAGGAAGTGTGAGCTTGCTTTTGGCTGATGAGATAGTCAAGTTAATTAGGATTGTTGTGGTTGTGTGTCTTCAAACCATTTCAGATTTAGGGTAACCCTTAGTCTGTAGTCTAGGGTGGGGCCTGGGTAAATTACCTTGGAGGGCCACATTAGGCCTGTGGACCTTAGTTTGGGGACCCCGATCTAGAGGGACCTTTTCTGCAATCGCTGCAAAAAGAATAGGGACAGCAAGGCAAGGAGTCTCATTTAAGATCTCCAGTTCTTATTCAGCTCATTCTGTGAAGAAAAATAGTAGTCACCTTCATTATCCACTTTTCTTCTGGACATCACTTCTGAAATAGTATACATTGAGATTGGACAGAGAGGCATTGGGGAAAATGAAGAATAGGGATGGATCTTAATCCTGTATATACTCATGTAGGAGTCTAGAAATTGTATTCAGAAAATCACCTTCCAAACCCTGGGTTGACTTATCCACACGCATTAAATGCTATACCTTAATTCATATAAAAAAATAATCATTCCCTTCTCTGAGTGCAATGGTGAAAGACAAGAATATAGTTCATCCTGAAAGAAACATGACCCTCTCTACTCTTTCCACCGAAGTGCCGCTTCTAGGCTTTTAGAATGTTTGGGTGGGAATATAGAGGCAATGGCATCACGGGTACTCTGCCCACCTGAGATAGTTTTGGTACTTACCCTTATGTGGAATGGCCCTCTAGTTATCCTTGGGTCATATCAAAATTCATAATTTTTGCCCCCAAACCTGTCCACGATTTATACATGAGTCTGACTTATACATAAGTATATACAGATATTTTTAATGTTTGCATTTTTTTTTATAGAACTTAGGCCTGAGCTTGAGTCCCTGGAGGGCAACTGGCAGTCAGAGTACAATCATCCCTTCATGTCCATGTATTCTTCATCCACAGATTCAATCATCTTTAGCTTGAGAATATATTTTTTTTTAATTCAAAAATCAAACCTTGATTTTGCCATTTTATGAAAGTGGCACTATTTTGCTATACCATATCATACTATATAATAGGACTTGAGCATACATGGATTTTCGTATCCATGGCAGATCTTGGAACCAAACTCTAGCAGATACCAATGGCCCACTGTTATAAGACACTGATCTTGATGGGCCAGTAACCTGAACTAATACAACTTTAAATATACACAGTGTGTGTCTCTACCTGATAACCTGAGCTAGGGAACTAAGCATCGCCCTCCTTCATGGATAAATTGGTGCTAAAATTATTAACATGCGATAATATAAAAATATTTAAGCAAAGCAGTTATGAAAGTAACTCATAACAAAGAGCTAAATGATTATGGCTTTCTGACCTTGAAGCCCTTGAAAAAGTCTATAGCTATGACATTGCTGTATTTTGCTGAATAATCAGATAGTACAAGGAGAAAATTTCTACAATAATTGAATTCATTCTGTACCACGAGTACTGTTTTAATTGTAACATTAAATGGTGCTCTTTGGAAGCGTCCAAATCATCTATTAATTGAACAGTAGCAAAGAATCAGAACAACAAAGAGATTCAGACAGCATAAAGTAATGGTTGGAATGAAACATTCAGAGTCCATGTTATGTGGATGCATGTAAGTTAGTATTCTATAGTAATAGGATAATCTGATGGAATGCTGTTAAATCTGCAAAGAACCAAAACTGAAAGATTAAATTAAAATGCTTGTCAGTTTTAGAATGTGTTTTCCCAGCCCTGCTAAAGACATGATTGATGTCATGTTTGTGTTTTTCCCTATGGATCTTAAGTCAGCAGGGGATGGAGAAAACAATGATGCAAAATGTTTTCATCATAATGACCTTCACTTCTGACTTTTCTCCTGGTTGTTCTGCAATGAATGCAATTAAGTGGAAAAGGAGCGGGGGGGGGGGGGGGGGGGGGGGGGGGGGGAGGCGAGACCAGAAACATGTTTACTACAGTAACACAGGAAAACAAAAAGCTTAGGCATATATTAAAGGTTTTCTTTGTTTCTCTTGGGAAGTAGCAGTAATGGAAGTGTTCAGATTTCTACATAGACTGTTAGCTAACTAACTGAATACTGTCACTCTTTCTTTTTCTCTGTAGGCGTGCATGTGATATCATTACAAAGCAACAGATGTGATATTTGTCTAACCCAAGGTCTCCACTGCTGTCATGTGAAAAGAGGAGAATTATAATGGTAAGAAAATGATCAGTGTTATATAACAACCTGGTCAACACGTTCCCAGTTTTTGCACGCCGGAACTCTAGGTAAGAGCTTTCCAAACAAATGATGTTGTTGACAACCTTTTGAGATGTGCATCATTTTATGACACATTCATTCAGTTTTATTAGTAAACTGGATGTTAAAGCAACCCCTTGTAAGAGAAACACACACACACACACACATATAAATTGTAATAACAGAAAGTATTGGGATACAACATATCTCATGAAAACTTTCCATTTATATTTTATAAATAGTTGTCCACTAACAATGTATACTATTTTAAACAAGATTTCCTTTATTTGTATACAGTACAATACCCATATCCACAGGGGATACATTCCTGAACTTAATATAATAACAGTGAATCCTATTAAAAATAAATTCTACTGGAAGTTACTATCAGGTCACTCTGGAGGACCTAGAAAATTGTTATCCTCTCTAGGAATTTACTGGATCATCTAACACAACTTTATGGAAGCATATGGTAGAATTTTCTGGAGGACCTAGAAAACAACAGCAGCAGCAGCAGCAACAACAACAACTTATACCCTGCCTCCACCTAGGTAGGGCTAGGTAGACTTAATCAGTAGCTAAACCATTATTCGAAGTGACTGGGGCGGCTTACATGGGTTGTAAGCTGCCATGAGTCCCTCTCCAGGGCTGAGAAGGACAGGATATAAATGTCTGAAATAAATAAATACTAAGCCCAATATAAACAAAATTACATAGTAAACACAGTTAAATCATATAACCATAAAATTATTAAAAACAATAAAATCAATAAAATTATTAAAAACAATAAAATCAATAAAATATACGGCATCATAAAACATGAGCCGAACATCAAACAAATGAGTATCCAAGAAGTATGGGCATGTGCAGATTTGGCACTAATAGGACAGGACAAAGGCTTGTGCAAACGCAACTGAAGGGCCAGGGCTGGCAATAAAGTGCTGGAAATCCAATCAGAAAGTTAGGGCTAGGTAGACTTAATCAGTAGCTAAACCATTATTCAAAAGCACGTTGAAACATCCAAGTTGTCAAGTCTTTCTGGAGGGTGGACAGGGATGGGGCTAATCTAATCTTCCTGAGGAGAGAGTTCCAGAGCTAGGGGTTCACCACCGAAAAGACCCTCTCTCGTCCTCACCAACTATGCTTGTGACAGAGGTGGGAGCGAGAGAGGGGCCTCCCTGGCAGATCTTAGGGCCTGTGCTGGTTCATAGAGGGAGATATGGCCACGAAGATAAGTAGGACCCCAACCATTTAGGTCTTTGTAGGTAATAACCTGCACTTTGAATTGGGACTGGAAACTTATCGGCAGCCTATGAAGCTGCTTCAGCAGAGGTGTCATTCACTCCCTGTAGCCTGTAATCTAAATTTTGTCTGAAGCAGGTAGGAGAAAGCAAAGGTACTGGTCCTGCAGTACTGAGGACTGTATTGCACTAGTAAAGAAAGCTTTCATTCTGTCAGAATAGATACTTGACCTTTGAGACATCCTTAATCCAAGCCTTATTCAATCTAAAAAGAAAGGAGGAAAAGCACGGGATCAGTGTCTATGCCTCACAATGTTTTGATCATTGGATGTAAAAGTGTCCACTCACCCCAAGGTCTTGCAGTAATGAATATATCTTGGTTTGTCACATTGCAGTTTTGAAGTCTGTATTGAAGTATAATTTTGGTGTGATCTTCTTTTCTTCCCTTTGAAAAGGAAAATGAAAAATCCTCCTCTTAGACTTTTCAAGTAGAGAGGCATATTGGACTACTTTTGTCTCAAACTTCACATTTAAAAATAAAAACAAATGATTTCATGAAAATGGTTATAACATTGCATAACTGACCAACAAGCCTTGTGTTTCAGTGATTATTCAAACTAGAGAAAACAAAGAGCACGGTTGAGTATTATCATCAAATATCTATTTTCAGAAGATAACAAAAACACTCTTATCTGGCATAATATTGATTTTAAAACATTCGATTTTGTCTCACCCTTAAATAGTATGTGACTTTCACCCTTTTTGAAATACTCCATGCCATTAAGAACCATTCCGATAGGGGAGGGACAATGCTCCCTGCTCCCAAAAAAGAAATGACTGAAATTTTTCTGCAATCAAAGAGATGAATAAGTACCTTCCAGATCTATCTATTCAATGCAGTCTTTTAGGGGAATTAGAAAAAAGCATTTAAGAAACTTCACTGGGAAGCTATATCCTATTATTTATTTGATGTAAAACAAAACTCCAGGAACGTCTGACTTTCAAACGTTGCCAGAATACATTAATTTAATTGGGACTTGGGGACTACATCTCCAACATCTGTCATGTTCCTAATTGTGAGCCTTCTTGTAGGTACAATTGATGAGATATTTTAATAATTTTGATGCTAATTTATTGCAGTTCAACTGTTCCTAATATTTCCACTGATCCTCTGCTTGTTTTGGGAAAGATGTGTACAAATGGCTAGTCTTACAGACCTTTCTAGTAATGAAGGAATTTTCAACTATACATATATAAAATATCAGCATGAGTATAGATATACAGTAGTAGTAAATCCATTTATCATTTGCATAGAAACATTTCTGAATAAAAATCTGTGCTCCCAGTTCATTTTTATAGTAGCCTTATTTAGTCATTTTATTGTGGTTCAACATAATGTGAAGAAATGTAAGACTCAAAAGCGCTTTCCTTTCATCTTCTCTAGGTTGTGTGGAGGAGATCAGATGTCATCAAAGGTAGTTTACTGGCGGGAGGCAGCATGGCATAGTGGTTTGAGAGTTAAGACTATGACTTTGGAGATAGGGTTCAAATCGCTTCTCAGCCATAAAAACTCTCTAGGTGACCCTAGTAAAGTCGTATACTCTCAGTTCATGCAAACCTTGTGATAATTTCACCTTGAGGTCACCATAAATCTGGTACGATTTGAAGGCACACAAAAACAAAAGAGTTTACTTTCTTGTTTGGAACTATTCAGGTTATATAGTGTTTAATCTAAACTATGACTTTGTAAAGTAAGCCAGATTCAAGTAGTGATTCATAATATTTGTTCATTGCACTAAACTATTGCTACAGTTAGCTGTAATTTAGGTTTAGGACATAAAACTATTGGGACCTCATCAGATGGCCCTAACAAAGCTGGAGGACAGGGAAAGACAACAGGGGAAATCATGGGGCTGCGTTGTATGTTGTTGTGGGTTGTGGTATCTCTTCCCATGATGTTTCCCCGCTGTCCCCCATTTTCTCTTTGCCTCCTCCAGCTTTTTTCGGTGAGGAGTCAGTTCTCTGCACTGCCAGCACACTTCTGACACCGAGCCCCACCAGAAGTAGCCCTGTGTCATATGAAGGGATCCGGGGGACTCCCTTCTGGCAGCATGCTGCCAGTGCAAGGAAGTGGGAAGGAGATGTTTCTCTGCCTCAATGTCATGAGGTCACCAGTATATAAGGAAAACCAAGGTTTAAGTCAGGGGTCTTCAAACTAAGGCCCAAGGGCCGAATATGGCCCTCCAAGGTCATTTACCCGGCCCTCGCTCAGGGTCAACCTAAATCTGAAACTACTTGAATGCACACAACAACCACAACAATCCTTTCTCATTAGCCAAAAGCAGGCCCACACTTCCCATTGAAATACTAATACGTTTATTGTTCTTCATTTTAATTATTGTATTTTTTTTTAAAAATTGCACTACAAATAAGATATGTGCAGTGCATAGGAATTAATTCATGCATTTTTCACATTATAAACCAGCCCTCCAACAGTTTGAGGGAATGTTACCTGGCCCTCCATTTAAAAAGTTTGAGGACACCTGGTTTAAGGTCTTCTTCTGATCTTATTAGTGGAAGAGAAGGGGAGTACAGAAGACCAAGCCCAGCATTAGATCAGCAAATGTAAACTTTCTTATGATCATGGCCAATCCTTAGGTCAATATCACAGTCCAGACCAAATGAATGGGGGCCTCTTACATTTTTCTATTCCATTGCATTCGGTAACTTGTCTCCTTTTCAAATTTCAGTTTCTCTTGGTAGAAACTGCCAAATTTCTCTTGGTTGCTGTCAGGGTCATAGGTCTTGTCAAGCTTTTGCATATGCTTTGTAATACTAGATGATGAGATGTGCTGCACAGCTGTTGATGCTGGGAAGAAGGATTGTTTTTCCATTTATGGCTTGGAATAATGAGATGTGTGAGGGAGGAAAATTAAATTGCAAGCAACCAAGGTCATTTTTGTAAGAAACCTGGTCTGAGGAAGAAGGAGAGATAAGACCTAGGGAGAAAGAATGTTTTGGATTGTTAGTAAATAGGATGAAAATCCACAAAAAAACCCCAATCATTTGAACTGCTTTTTAAAAAATATATATACTGTCTAACTAAAAGGTTTCAGTTGTGTCATCAATTATATGCTGTGATCAATTTAGTTTTCTGAATAAAGTCATCTGAATCTGCTGAAAGCTTATGTTTCTGAACTGCAGTTGGCCAGGACATTACAGTTACATGTCATATTCAAATATGAGATGTGGACTAGAACCCCTAAAACTTAGCACTTTCCTCTCCGGATTTACTGGGGTTAGAGACATAGAACCTCTATAAACATGAAAAAAAATGTAAATGAAGAAATTGTTGGTTTTTTTTTTAACTCAAGATAACATCTCTAGGAATTCCTAGATCTTCTACTGTGACTTTACGGTCAACTACCTTAGAAGCTGAACGTCAAATCACATTGGAGGATGTAGAGATTCATTGAGAAGTGTTCTCTCTAGAAATTTCTAGGTCCTCTAGCATAACTGGAAGAATTTGACCATAGAGCTGCACTTCATGATCTAGAGCAGGGATCATCAAACAAAGGCCCAAGAGTTGGATGTGGCCCTCCAAAGTTATTTACTCAGCCTTTTCCCTAAACATTTGCTTTAGGGTTGCTCTTAAGTCTGAAATGACTTGAAGGCACACAACAGTCTCAATTAACTTAACTATCTCATCAGCCAAAA